CCTCTGCCGGGGGCTTTCCCCGCTCCGTGGGTTTCCGTCTGGCGCACACGCCGTTTGTCTGGATTGGCGCGGCGTGCGGTATGTGCGTCGAGGCCACATCCAGCCGCCGCTGGCCCCGGTGCCGAGAGGCTCTAACGACTTTGTGTCCACGGCAGGATGGGATTCTGCTCGGGGCCGTGGGGGCGTATGACTGGAACGGAGCAGTGCTCAAGGAAACCAGCAGTGGGAAAGTCATTCCTCATAGGGAATCCTACCTCCAAGAGTTCCCGGAGGAGCTGAAGAACCATGGGGCATACCTAGGTAAGGAGGTTGCGCAGAATGGGTCTAGAGTCGTGGTTTTGCCATTTTTTAGATCATTTCGGCCAGGCCAGGTGGAAAGTGCCGAGTCTTTCGCAGCAGACCTGGTTTGCCAGGGCTCACAGAAACACCCAGCCAAGCCACAGTACATTAGGTGCCTAGCTGTGCTCGTGAGAGAGAGAGAGAGAGAGATACTATCCCTAGCTCGCCAATAAAGCCATCTGTGTATCGAACGAGCGGCGGAGCCAGTGGAAAGCCAAGGCCCATAGGAATAAAGATGTCGTGGGGCTGCTGCCCCACTGTGGCAAGGAAGGGGTTAAAAGCAGGCCACAGGGAGCCTGTGCAAGCCCCACCAATCAGAGAGAGGCTCATAGGGAGCCAGTCAAAGGGCGTCTTGTTGGGGCAGCCCCTGTTATAAGGCGCTGCTTAGCAGAGCAGAGGGCAGTTGGGTCCTGACTGGCGAAGCGGAAGGACTGGTTCCCTGGGAGAAGCACCTGAGGAGGAGCCATGCGGGGCAGGCTCAGGGGAGCTGGGGAGAAGCCCCAACAATTAAGAAGAAACCACACAATGGGGGACATGCCGGCCAGAAGGTGGCGCACGCCAACAAACTGAGCTAATTCCCAGTGTGACCAGCAGGAGGCGCCGCAGTGGTGAGTCGAACCCGCTACAGTCTACTCTATGTTTGAGAGAGTGAGTCTGTCTGTCGGACTGTCTGTCGGTCTGTTCAAGAACACCTAAACAGTAAGAGCTAGGACCACCGAATTCGGCACACAGCTTCCTCGTCTCATAACGTAAGGCAGGGGCAGGGTTTGGCTGTGCCCGGACAATGGGGGGTGCCTGGAATGGGATTGCTGCTCAGAAAACCATATAGAAAGGAGACAGAATCAGCAGGCTGCCTGGAGCTATCCCCTTCCCCCCACCCCCTGCATCCAGAACTGCCTCTTACTCGCCGGGTACCTATTAGGGAGAATCATAGAATCATAGAGCTGGAAGAGACCTCAGGAGTCACCAAGTCCAGCCCCCTGCCCAAGGCAGGACCAATCCCAACTCAATCAACCCAACCAGGTCTGTGTCAAGCCGAGACTTAAACACCTCTAGGGATGGAGATTTCACCACTTCCCTAGGGACCCCATCCCAGCGCTTCCCCACCTGCCCAGTGAAATAGTTTTTCCTAATATCCAACCTGGACCTCTCCCACTGTAACTTGAGACCATTGCTCCTCGTTCTGCATCCGTCACTACTGAGAACAGTAACACAGATGTAGCCGTGTTAGTCTGGTGTAGCTGAAACAAAAAACAGGACGATGCAGCACTTTAAAGTCTAACAAGATGGTTTATTAGGTGATGAGCTTTCGTAGGCCAGACTTTTCTCCATCCTCTTTGGAACCTCCCTTCAGGAAGTTGAAGGCTGCTATCAAATCCCCCCTCACTCTTCTCTTCTGCAGACTAAACAAACCCAAATCCCTCAGCCTCTCCTCATAGCTCAAGTGCTCCAGCCCCCTAATCATTTTGGGCGCCCTCTGCTGGACCCTCTCAAATGCGCCCACGTCCTTTCTATAGCGGGGGGCCCAGAACTGGACACAATACTCCAGATGTGGCCTCACCAGACCCGAATAAAGGGGAATAATCACTTCTCTGGATCTGCTGGCAATGCTCCTCCTAGGGTGCATTAGGAGGGTGAAGAAGGTTGAAGTTCCCTTCCCTCCATAATTTGTATGGGAATGTTCCTGGCTGTTCCCCTTTGTCAGGGAGCGAGGGGAAGTGCCCAGTTTGCTGCATTCTACTCTGGCTGGGGAATACAGGGGGCAGACAGACCCGGCTTGCTGCAGCAGCAGCTGCCATGCAGAGGTGTTTCTCACATAGCCTTATCTTGCTGGTATCAGTTAGTCGACTATTCTGTAGTCCCCAGGGCAGGTCTGGCAGCCACTGCACTCAGGTCTCACTCCCAAGAAGCCCTCTGCCATCCGGCAAAGCGTGGGGTGCCAGGCGGGCCCGGCTGTGCCTGCTGGAGCTGCAGCGGACACGGGGAGGCGCTTCTCCCCTAGCTGCTGTGCTGAGATGGGGCTGGGGTTGTCCTCTCTCCCCAGGGCAACTTGCATCCTGAACCCCTCCTCCCCAGCCCAGAGCAATGATTGAAATGAAGTTTGGGCATTTTATTTTCCAAAACCCCACCAACATTAATTGAGTGAAGGACCCCAGCCCCGTCGGCTCAGCCTTCCAGTTTAATATAATGTGTGATCAGTTTCATTCGCAAAATCTCACCCTCCCGTTCACACAGTAGATTAGCCTAGAACCAGGACTACCGATTCCGGGGCTAAAGTAAACCCAATCCCTGGGATTCAGATGGCTTATTCAGGGGAGCATAACTCAACAGCTTTGCCTGGACTCATGTTCTCTGTCTGCATACAGGACACATCTGTATTCAACAATAGGCCTCCTCGAGATATCCGTATATAGGGTTATTCACTAGAGTGTCAGGGCTTTTTATAGCTCCCATCGTGGCATCCCGCATCATATGGGGTGTGTGGCATCCCGCATCACAGTTTTGCATCCAAACACAGTGTTACAGGCGGGAGAACAGTTCCTCCGCCGTGCAGGAAGGTAGCAACCGGACACTGCAAGGGGCCTTCCCTGCGATTGCGAAATTCTTCTGCGTTTGATTTGCTAGCAGCACCAACCTTTGCATGTTCCTTCTTGTAATTCTGGACACTCCAGGAATGAGGGGCCGGGGCAATACATTTCCGGCACTTCAAAACCAAAGGTCGGAGCTGCCGGCTTGGCTTGCATGACTATCTTTGGAGAAATCTTGGTCCCCGGCTTGCTGATCTGGCAGGCCGCCGGAGCTGCGGGAGCAGCCTGCAACTAATCAACCCCAGATTGTCAGCCACCAGTGTTGCAATGAAGGAAGAGACTCGAGGAACGGAGTGAGCGGTGAAATTAGAAGCACTGATGCGGGCCGATTCAGGCTAGAGATAAGGCCGAATTTTTCCGAGTGAGAATAATTAACCACTGGAACCATTTTACCCAGGGGCCATGGTGAATTCTCCATCACTGGCCAGTTTAAAATCCAGCTTGGAGGTTTGTCTACAAGATCAGCCCCAGGCGCTGTTTGAGGGTTGCTTCCTGGATGAGGCTGTACAAGCGGTCAGGCGACATGATCACAGGAGGGATGTAAAATCTTGGTTTACCGGTTACGTCTTCGGTTTAACTGATTAAGCGGGGTCTCGATCCCACCCCACCTCCCCCATGTGCAGGGTTATGTCTACCTCCCCCCACACAAGGTCTGCTCCCAGATGCCCTGTGCATGGGGGCCGACTCCTGGAGCAGCCCTGGGTCAGGGGCTGTCCCCGGGTACCGGTTAAGTGATACCCCGTATGCATCATCCAGTAAGGGTCACCTGGTTACATCCCTAGGTCACGGTGTTCTCTTCTGGCCATTTATTTTCTGGCTGGAAATCACAACATGCAATTGATTTAGCAGCTTTTGGGTCCCCAGATTTGCCTGTGTTCTTTGCTACATGTGCTCACCTTGTGTTTCCATGTCTCCTAGGTTACACTGTCACCTCCGTGATGTCACCCAAGCATGGAAGAATTTACGTGGCCGGAGCTCCGAGGTTCAACCACACGGGGAAAGCCATTATTTTTACAATGCACAGCAACAGAAACCTAACCATTCACCAGTCCCTGAAAGGAGAACAGGTAAACCATCGGGGGATGCATCGTACCTGTCTATGGAGCAGACATCAGACATAGGCTTCGTTGGCTGCGCTTCTGTATATGGCTGTTAAAAGTTAGGCCTCGGTCCCCATTTACAAGTTCTCACTGAGCTGGCAAAAGATTAGAGCTTCATCTGATGTACATGGATGATCCTGACTTCAGTGGAGTCAGCTGACTGTGAACGCTGGGGCCTTCCCTCCTCTCAGGGTCCTGGAACGGAGGGTTCAGCCTGAGCCTGAATTTCTAGACAGCAGATTTTCAGGCGTGTAGACCAAGTCCTGAGCCCTGGGCCAGCAATGGGGGGTTATTTCTGTGTGCACACAGGGACATAGACTCACAGCCGCCTTCTTCTCCAGATAACCTTCATCTTTTCTCTTACGCTGCTGCCTCCGCTTTTCTTAATCCCCTCTGCACTTGTGCCATGTACAACGCCACCGCTTCGGCTCTGCCTCTCCCGCCGCTGTACCATGCTAAAAGCAGCACCCTTGTATAACTCAGCGGCCCCTTCTGTTGCCTGTCTGTCCTCTTCTTCCAACAGAGGGCCTGAAATTCATCCGACCCCTCCATTGTTCCCTCCCCAGCCTCCAGCCCCTTGGCCGGCGAGGTGAAATTCACTGCTCTGTCGGGGTATGTCTGCACTACAAGGGTATTTCGAAATAAGCTATTTCAGAATAATAACTCCCAAAATAGCTTATTTCAAAATAGCACGTCCACGCTGCAGAGAAGCCTCGAAACCAGTCTGAGGCAGGCTTCCCTAATGTGGACGCACTACCTCGATTTAGAGCCCCAAGAGGCACTGGGGAGGAATTTCTTTGTTATAGTTCTAGCCTTCACAGCCTCCTGCAGCAAGGAGTTCCACAGGTTGACTATTTGCTTTGTGAAGAAGAACTTTCTGTTACTAGTTTGAAGCCTGCTATCCATTCATTTCATCTGGTGTCCTCCAGTCCTTCTATTATGGGAACTAATGAAGAACTTTTCTTTATGCACCCTCTACACACCACTAATGCTTTTATAGCCCTCTATCCTACCCCCCCTCAGTCTCCTCTTTTCTAAGCTGAGAAGTCCCAGTCTCTTTAGCCTCTCTTCATATGGGACCTGTTCCAAACCCCTGATCATTTTAGTTGCCCTCCCCTCTCCCACCCTCTCTCTGCCCCTCTCCCACCTCCTTTTCCCAGTCTCCCCGAGTTTTGTTCAATAAAGAGAGTTTCTATTTTTGAACACACGTGTCCTTTATTTTGTACATTAGGAAGGGGGGCTAGAGAGGGGTAAATGGAAGGAGGTGAGGGAGGAATGGGGTACGAGCCCCCGATGGAGAGTACTGGGCTGGCTCTGCGGGGTCCTCGGGGGGGAAGCTCTCGTGCAGCCCCCCGATTGCCCCCCCTCCCCGGATGGCAGCCTGCGGCAAGTACAGCCGGGCTGATGGCCGAGTGCTGTGATGTGCCGAGTGTGGGCGCTCAGGGCACTCCAAGCCAGGACTGCTTTGCTGTCCCTCATCGAGTTAGACAAGCAAGAGGGGAACCCCTGAGAACTATCTGTCCGGGGTGGGGGTCGGGTCCCTTTAAGCACAGCCCTCGGCTAGCCTGAGACATTCCTGAGTCCTAATCTGATGCCCTGCCGGCACTGCTTCCGGCCATCCTTAAGCCCAGTTCAGGGTCCACTCAGGGTGGACATGCTAGTTCGAATTAGCAAAATGCTAATTTAAACTAGTTTTTAGGTCTAGATGCTCTAGTTCGAATTAGCTTAGTTCGAATTAACTAATTCGAATTAAGTTAGTTCGAATTAGTGCTGTAGTGTAGACGTACCCTTATAGGGCTGGCAAGATGCAGCCCCAGGGCCGGATCCGGCCCGCCACACACTTCGATCTGGCCCGCGGGCTGCATCCGGCCCCTTTCTATTTATATCCTGCTGCCCGTGCCACCAGATTTCCAAGAGGTGGCTCAGGCACCAGGTCCCTATTTCATTGGCTCACGGCTGCCAGTCGTGGTGCTGTCCTGGCAGAGGCCAGAGCTGTGAGCCCTTGAAATAACCGCAGCAACCATGGGCAGCTGCTAGGCAACGCGGTAGCAGCTGAGCCGGAGCCGGGAGCCCTTTGCTGTGTTTTTAATTTGAAGCCTCCAGCCCCAGACAACTCTGGGGGGAAACTAGTCCCTAGCCCCGCCCCTTCTGCCCCAGACCCCTCCCCTTCTGGGGGTGCAGCCGGTCTGTGACCACTTACCAAAATTAAGTGGCGCCCTCTTAAACATTGCCCACCCTTGGTCTAGTAGAACTAGGGCAATAGCTCCGCACGTACCGTCTGCACCGGGAGCGAATCCTGAATGGTTATCGATTTGGAGAAGGTCATTCTGCTTAAATGCACCGAAGTGATCGGATGCTGCCATCTCTCCTTCAAAACCTCCTTCAGCAGGGAAACGTGACCCTCGGAGAATGCCACAAAGCCCGAGCAGAGAAGAGTCGTGAATCTTTCCGCATTAGCACTCTTTTCCTGGAGCCCTCGCTAGACAGTGTGTTTAAAACGTCTCCATTTCGAAGGCTGAAAATGCCACCGGTGCCAAGGGTGTTGTCTGCGAGGTGCTCGGTTCCTTAGAGATACAGGCCGGTAAACGTGGCGTTCTCGTTTCCCGTTCCAACCGTTTCCTCCTTTCTGGCTCTTTCAGATTGGCTCCTACTACGGAAGTGAAATAAACTCCATCGACGTTAACGGCGATGGGATCACCGACATTCTGCTGGTCGGCGCCCCCATGTACTTCAGCGAAGGCCGAGAGCGGGGGAAGGTGTACATCTACGTCCTAAAAGAGGTAACTGCGCCAGTTTGTTGGATCTTTGCTCTTTCCCCAGAAGAGGCTGTGGAATAGCCGGTGTTCCAATCCCCCGTCCTCAAACGTGGCTGTCCTCGGATATGTTGCCCAGCTCTGGGCCCATTGCGGGGGGTCTGAGTATGGACAGCATCCGGCACCTTCCTGAGGATAACGCAGCCGCGCCTGTGAGAGAATGTAAGCGTGCTGGCGAGGGGAACGCCCCCCTCAAAACACAGAGGCTACGTCTACACTGGCACGATTTTCCGGAAATCCTTAAAACAGAACAGTTTTCCGTTATAAGTATTTCCAGAAAAAGCGCATCTACATTGGCAGGATGCTTTTCCGGAAAAGCACTTTTTCCAGAAAAGCGTCCATGGCCAATGTAGATGTGCTTTTCCGCAAAAAAGCCCCGATCGTCATTTTCGCAATCGGGGCTTTTTTGCGGAAAAGAAATCTGGGCTGTCTATACTGGCCCTTTTCCGGAAAAGGACTTTTGCCTGAACGGGAGCAGCATAGTTTTCCCGGAAAAGCACTGATGATTTTACATTAGATCGTCAGTGCTTTTCTGGAAATTCAAGGGGCCAGTGTAGACAGCTGGCAAGTTATTCTGGAAAAGCGGCTGATTTTCCGGAATAAGTGGCCAGTGTAGACACAGCCAGATAGAAGAAGGTGCGTGAGAGCACGCAGAGGAGCATAGACAGAGCCAGACAACCTGTTTCTGAGGAAAGATGTATGCCCCGGCTGGAGGCCTTCACTGTGCTCAGGCAGAAAGCGCCCAATCTCCTGGGTTGGCGAGGCTGGCGGACAGGGATGTCCTCTCTGCTTGGACAAGACAGATCCATCTGAGGCTGGAGGGGTCATGTCCAGCTCAGGTCGAGACACGTGCCCTAGCTTGGGTGACGTTAGCCTGATCAAACTAGCGTCATAATCATGGCAGCATGGCCGGTGGGCTGGTCACCCGAGTATCTGCCTGGAAGCTCAGATGGGACTGTAGCCCGGTGGCTCGCCCATGCGCCGTGACTATACTGCTCCTCTGGAGTGCACTAGTCCGATCAGACCTAGCCTGGGTATGTGCATCTGAGCGGTTTCCCCAAGTGCTGTGTCCATTTACCCTAGATGGACCCTCAGGCCGGCCAAGGGGTCTGTCTGCTCAGCAGGACAGACAGAGGAGTTTTTTCCATTCCAAGAGACAGACAGACAGACAGACAGACGGGGAGCAGCTCTGCTTGGCCCGATGAACAGCGGCGCGCTCCACTCTACTCAGGGGGGTGGATGGATGGAGAGGGGCGGCACTCGGCTGGAGCAGGCAGCGTGGGTAGCGGCTGGTCCCGCTGCTGTGCTGATAACAGGAGCCAAAGTTCTCACCGCTGATAATGGTCAGGGCATCAAGGGATATCACTGGGCCTCGGAGGTTCCAGGAGAAAGCACCAGGTGGGGATCTCAGGCCAGACGCAGGGCCGTGGCGCGCACACACGTGGCTTTTCCAGAAGGGCAGCCACGTTGCCTTCACGTCCCAGCCAGCATCGTTTGTCCCAATCCAGAGACGCAGAATCTAGGCCACTGACACAAAGCTGCACCGCCCCGGGCTGCCTGTTCGCTGCTCTCCCCTGCAGACCAAAAATGGATTCCCCTTCCCTTGGGGAGAACATGGCTCTGGCTACTGGCCCCTTCCTCCAGCTCCCACTCTGGAGATGGCTGCTGAGCCCTCATCGAAATCCCACTTCCATCCAGGGAAGGTTTCCCATTTCTTCTGCGGGTTTTGTATCAGGTGCCTGGGGCACCAGGGTCTTCTGGCCAGACCATCTCCTGCTCCCAGTGCCTCACCGATGGTCCCATGGGACGCGGGCAGGCCCGGCCTTTGGGCAAGGCGAGTGAAGTGGTTACCTTGGGCCCCGCACATTCAGGGCCCTGCACCCCCCCCACCCGGCCACTCACTCGCAGCCCTGTTCAGCCACGCTGCCTTGGGCCCTGCAAACTCTTTGGCCAGGCCCGGACACTGGCAACATTTCTTCTGCCTGCTCGGCATTTTCCCCTTCCCAGAATCCCGGTGCCTTTTGCAGGAGGCTGCCCCATCCAATCACGAATGAAACGTTTTCTTTTCCGTTTTTAAAAAAATCATCCGATCGATGCTAACAGAGAGTGATGCGCCCGCAGTGGACGCCCTAGAGTTGTTCCGGTGATAACGGGCTCCAACCCGCTAGAGCAACCTTTTCGACAATTCAGGAAGACTTGGTGACCCAGGGCAATTCAAAAAATGTGTGAATGGCTCCTTAAGACATACCTGGGGAGACACCTGGCCACCCTTTTGAAATGCAATGGCGACCCATATTTGGGTCCGGACCCATAGTCTGGGGAACCCAGGGCTAGAGGAAGGACCATGTTCTGTACAGGTTGGGGTTTCTAGATTTAAATCCCAGGTTGTTTCTCTAGAGCCTGTGTGACGTAGTGGGGGTACTTGCTGGGCTGTGGTGACCTCTGCTGTCTGGAACAAGACCGGGCAGGGAAAACCTCATTATGCAAAGGTGAGGCCAAACCTGTTGAACCAGACACCCCCCATGGAGAGGAACGAAGGAAGGGGGAATGCTGCCCTGGCTGGGGGGCAGGGCTGGAAGAGAGTTAGTAGCATGGAGGAGACAGCCTAGGGAAAGGGGCTGGAGTTTAGGGGCCCAGTCTCCCCCATCTCAAGGGGGCCTGAGGCATCCTAGCCCAGCTCTGTGACCAGATTCCATCTGTGCTGTGCTGTATCCTGGAGAGGCAATAAACTTCCTCTGTTCCACCGGCTGGTGCAGTCTGTTTGTGCCATTTCGGGGTGCAGGAGATGGGGGACCCCCAACGCGCCATCACAGCCTGTTGAAATGTTGTGGGACTTCCCAGCAGATCCTGTTCGGGCTCAGCCTGAGTCTGTAAAGTGCGGAGCAGCCTTGAAGATTACTCTGTTGGGGCTAGGGGGCGGGGACTGGCAGCCTTCTCGTCATCGTTAATGAGGAAGCGGTAGGTCCGGGCGTTAGGGCTCTGGTAGCGCTTGGTTCTAGGCGCCTGAGAGGAAAATACAAATACCCCAGTGCTGGGGGAAAAGCCTTCATGGTGGCATTTGCTGGTTCCATGTCGATTTGTTGTGGGAAAGGCTCTACGTCCTCATTTGGGAAAGCGCTTGCAAATCGCGCTGCTTCCGTTACGATTTCCTCTCGGATCCCAGCCAGGCTCTCTGGGGTCATGACCAAAAAAAGTCGCCACAGAAAGGAAGAGCTGTTCCTCCTGCTTCTTCTTGGACATCTTTGTAGCATGCACAAGATTGAAAATCTTGGCCAGGCTGAAAAAAAGCCGTAAGCTCCATCTGGGGATTAGTGACAAGGCCAGGGTAAAATTAGATCTCCCACGCTGGCTCTGCACGCTGTCGTGAGTGCCGTAACCAGAGACACGCTGGTAAGGATTCAAACCTTTTAGCGTGAAAGCGGCTGAGGTCTGTTCAGACACCCAGTAGCAAGTGTTGCATCATTCCCACGAACCCAAATTAGAAGGAGCAAGAAGTGGCGTGTGTGCGTGGTAACTTTCTGTAACCACCCAGAGGAAAGTCACACTGGAAAACAACACCCCAAAACCTTTTGCTCTCTGGTTGTTTTTGCTGTGTGAAGTAGGGAAGCCGGTAAATAATTGGTTGGGATTTTGCAACCCATGCCATCGCCTCCCGAAAAAACACGTTGGGCACTTCTGGGGCAGGGAAAATGATAACCAGAGGCACTGTCCCTGGATTGTAAGGAAATAGCTCCCTCTTACTCGCCAACACATGCCTGATGCAGCTGGCTTTCAAGACCCTGAGATGGTCCCGTTAGGGCCCCGCGTTTGCCAGGCTGTGGTTTGAGCTGTGATCCATTGAGCAAATTGATGAAGGTTTGCTCAGTGTGGCCAGTTGATTTCCTTTGTTGAATACGAACCGTGCACTGAGCGGCCACAGCCGTCGCTCATGACACTGAGATCATCGAAACAAGGCCGAGTCAAGCAGCAGAATGAAACTGACGCGGGTGAAATTGCAGGGGCGCTGTCAGCTGACGCAATTGTCTTGACTGTCTTTGTGCTCTTTTTTTTTTTTCTCGTTGGGGGGAACGGCACTGAAATGAGCGATGTGGCAGCGCCGCTTGGTTTCTCAGCGCAAATTTTTCCTCAAAATAGGCTCTGCCACGGGCTCATCCCAGCACCTGTTTTGAATTTGCAATGAAAATGCAAAAAACGTGTCCGAGCTGGAGCCGGAGCCGGCCTGTACTGACACATTCCGCCCCAGCCTCGCGGGCTGCAGTGCCCAGCGATCGGCCCCGCTGCAGCGTTCTCTGCCCCACCCTGTCCCCCAAAACCAAAGGCCACCGGGCGCAAATGAACCCTACGTACTGTGAGGGAGCATCCGAAAGCCTGCGTCCCTCCTACAGTCGAACAGGAGGGAACGTTTGCCTCCCAGATGAACAGATCTCAGAGCCATCTCTGTGCAGAATAATATGTGTATGTGCCAAAACCCTTCCAGCTACAGAGCTCAATGCATCTGAAACTTAGTTTCTGTGTGCCTTATTATCACCATTTTATAGAATGTCTATACAGCAGGGCAAAAGTCAAAGTAAGCTATGCAACTTGAGCTATGTCAATTGCGTAGCTGAAGTCAAAATAGCGTAACTCAGCTTTTGGCTACATAGCAGGAAGTCAAAGGAAGAACATTCTTCCTCCGACTTCCCTTACTCCTGTGAAATGAGTCACAGGAGTCGGGGTAAGAAGTCCTCCAACTCGACGACATTTTGAAATAACGGCTGGCTGTGTAGGCACGCTCTTTGTTAGTACGGAATAGCGTTAGTAATTCCGAAATAATGCTGCTGTGTAAACATACCCTAAGAGATCTTGCCCCGATTTTACAGATCAGTCAACTGAGGTAGAAATACTCTAAGGCTACGTCTAGACTGAATCCCTGTCAGCAGAGGGATGCAAATTAAGCACATCAAAATTACTAATGAAGCAGGGATTTAAATATCCTGCACTTCATTAGCATAAACATGGTCACCGCTTTTTTCCAGAACGGAGCGTTTTCGAAAAAAACCTGGCAGTCTAGACATGGATCTATCGAAAATAAACCCTTTTGCAAAAGATCCTGTATTCCTCAAAAAATGAGGTTTATAGGATCTGTCGAAAAAGGGTTTATTTTCGACAGATCTGCATCCAGACTGCCAGGGTTTTTTCTCGAAAAAGCTCCGTTTTTGGAAAAAAGCAGCGGTCATGTTTATGCTAATGAAGCATGGGATATTTAAATCTCTGCTTCATTAGCAATTTCGATGTGCCTAATTTACATCTCTCTGTCGACAGAGAGGTGTAGTCTAGATACACCTCTGTAGTTTCTGTCTCTTTCTCTCTTTCCGTCTGTCTTTTTGTCTGTCTGTCTGTCTGTCTATCTGAGCCCCTCACAATCTCTCAGGCTGTGTCAACACTACAAAGAAAAGCTGGTAAAAGATACGCAAATTGCGAAGTGCAATTTGCGTATCTTTTTCTGCTTTTCTTCCGAAAGAGGCTTTTCCGACATTTGGCCCATCTGCACGAGGCCAAATGTCAGAAAAGAACCCTCTTTCAGAACATCTCTTCTTCCTCATACAACAAGGTTTACAAGGATGCCAAAAAAATGCGTCTGCTTTTCCGAAATTTTTGTTTTTGGGAAAAGCAGATACATTCCTTGGACACAGAAGAGCTTTTCCAGGATACCTCTAGGCACTGCAGTCTAGACCATCCCCTCATGTCCTTTCACCTCACAACACTCCTGAGGTGATCTCCATGTTACAGCTCGGGGACAAAGGCACAGATTGACTATCTAAGGTCACACAGAAAGGCTTGGGGGCGGGGGGTTTTCTGTGGGCTTTTAGGGAGTTGGTTGATTGATTGTCTCCTGCTTTGGGGATTTTTAATTCCTCCATCTTTATTGCTGTTTCCCCTTTGAAGGACCAATTTGTTTCCAATGGATCTCTGAAAGATTTGCAGAGCTACCAGAATTCCAGGTTCGGCTCTTGCATTGCCTCCGTCCCCGATTTGAATCAAGACTCCTACAATGATGTCATCATTGGGGCTCCTTTGGAAGATGACCACCAAGGAGCCATATATATCTTCCATGGCTTCGAAGAAAACCTCCAGAAGATGTATAAACAGGTATAGCTTCCCTTGTCCCTCGCTTATTTATTAGGTGATGGGGAAACAAAATGGTGAATGAATGTTAATGTTGTTAAATACGAAGTAATGCACATCGGAAAAAATAATCCCAACTATACATACAATATGATGGGGACGACTGTAGCTACAACTACTCAAGAGAGATCTCTTGGAGTCATTGTGGATAGATTAAAGAGACTAGGACTTTTCAGCTTGGAAAAGACGAGAATAATATCCTAGGCCGTGTCCAGACTCAGGGTTTTTTTCGGGAAAAGTAGCCTTTTCCCGAAAAAACTTCCCCTGCGTCCAGACTCAAGCCGCGTTCTTTCGAAATTATTTCGAAAGAACGCGGCTTTTCTTTCGATGGCGGTAAACCTCAATTTACGAGGAAGAATGCCTTCTTTCGAAAGTTCCTCTTTCGAAAGAAGGCGTTCTTCAATGAAAGAGGCCATCTTCGAAAGAGAGCATCCAGACTCGCTGGGTGCTCTCTTTCGAAAAAGCGGATTTCTCTTTCGAAAGATCCGCCTGCAGTCTAGACACGATCTTTCGAAAGAAGCTCTTTCGAAAGATGCTTTCGAAAGAGCCTCTTTCGAAAGAAGTCTGCAGTCTAGACATAGCCCTAGAGATCTATAAAATCGTGAGTGGTGTGGAGAAAGGGAATAAGGAAAAGTTATTTACTTGTTCCCATAATATAAGAACTAGGGGCCACCAAATGAAATTAATGGGCAGCAGGTTTAAAACAAATAAAAGGAAGTTCTTCTTCACACAGCACACAGTCAACCTGTGGAACTCCTTGCCTGAGGAGGTTGTGAAGGCTAGGACTGTAACAGGGTTTAAAAGAAAACTAGATAAATTCATGGAGGTTATGTCCATTATTGGCTATTAGCCAGGATGGGGAAGGAATGGCGTCCCTAGCCTCTGTTTGTCAGAGGGTGGAGATGGATGGCAGGAGAGAGATTGCTTGATCATTACCTGTTCGGTTCACTCCCTCTGGGGCACCTGGTGTTGGCCACTGTCGGCAGACAGGATACTGGGCTGGATGGACCTTTGGTCTGACCCAGTCTGGCCGTTCTTATGTTCTTATTTTCTCCAGAAACATCCACTCACTGTGCAGCGGCAGTCAAAAAACAAACTGAATGTTAGGAATCATTTAGGAGACTAAGGCTACATCCAGACCTCAGGCTTCTTTTGAAAGAAGCTTTTTCGGAAGAGAGCTTCCGAAAATACTTCCTCTGAAAGAGAGCGTCCACGCTGCAGAAGCGCATCGAAAAAACCATCTGCTTTTTCAAAAGAGAGCGTCCACTCTCTTTGGATGGGGTCTCACATGTAAGCTGTGATTACTATGGGCGGAATGGCCACCAGGTCACCTGTGCTTTTTCTTGGAGGCCTCTTCTTTCGAAAAAATTCCCTCTTCTGCATCCACACACGCCTTTTTCCGAAAGAGTTCTTTTGGAAAAGGCATTCTTCCTCATAGAATGAGGTTTAGCAATGTTGGGAAAACACCTGCGTTCTTTTGATTTTCTTTAGAAAGAACGGGATTGCAATGTGGACGTAGGTGAAGTGTTTTCGGAAAAACGGCCGTTTTTCTAAAAAACCCTGTGGTCTAGACACACCCTAAGTCAGGGTATGTCTACACTACCACCCTAGTTCGAACGAGGGTGGTTAATGTAGTCATACGAACTTGCAAATGAAGCCCGGGATTTGAATTTCCCGGGCTTCATTTGCATGTTGCCGGGCGCCGCCATTTTTAAATGTCCGCT